CATTTGTCTGCTTTCTTTAGCTCGGGGCCGCCATGGAATTCATCCGGCTTGGCCCTTAAAAACTCCCTCGTAAGGAAGCTAGCTCTAGTCTCCGCAACATTCTCCCTTGCACGGGTTTTCGCTCTCAAAATGTTTATGGACTCCCTCAATGCCCCAGCCATCTCCCAGGCTAGAGCCCCCATTGCGGTTTGGCCGGCTTGCCTCGGCACCTCCGCTTGCCCTACTTGTTCGGCCATGTCAGCTTGGCCTAAACCCTCTTCTTGTACCGGGACCTCTTGGACCGGTAACTCATATACACCTCGACGACCTTGACCTCGCCTTCCACCCCTACCTCCTTGAGTTCGAACTTTTCCTGACATCCTAATTAAGGAACAAGATAGATAATTTAGCACATAATTCCAAATGTGCTCGCAACTTGCCTCACACGTTAAACTATAACGGTTTACACATACTCTATCACACAACAATTTAATTCACTCCACATAAGCAAGTAGTCACATAAACACATATGAATTATCCTTTAGTGATGAGATTCGCCCCATGAGAAACCAAGAATTCTTAGTAGAATGAGTTTGATCAAGTACTCTTCTAATAAGATTTCAAGGAAACTAATAGGCGCAAATAACATCCTAAAAGTCTAATCTCATACCCACATAGTCACATAAGCATGCTATCACATAGTCATAAATAAACAAGACATTTCCTAATCATAAGACATGAACCCATTGCGGTATAACAACCACTTCCCGCGAGCCCCAAGTATTCAAACCCGGTAGCTCTGATACCAAGTTGTAACGCCCCAAAATAATTCGACATGAACTACCCACTTCCAAATAAGATATTAACCAAATCCCATTACATAAGATCAAATGTTTTACAAAACAATCTCACATGCGGTTATACATTCATTGATAAACTAGTACATAAATCTACAGCATGTAAAATCATCAAATCAAAACGAATAAGGCCCTCAAGGGCTTACAAGTCCCAAGCAATAGCCTGGCTACACAAAATGGTCTCTCGGACCCCTACACATTAGCCCTTGGCTTTACAAAAATTTACACAAAAATATAAGAGCAAGCACTCTTCACAATCACGTCCACGCCATCAACTCGGCGGGATCACCACATTTTTACCTGCACCAAATCCCATAGAGGTGAGCATAAAGTCCAGTAAAGAAATTCTCACAAAGTATATACAGTTATGCTCTTTTCTCAACATAAAAATAAACATACATGCAATGCCATGCCAAGTTAACAAATGAGGAAAATATTCGTTTCAATGCACTATTTCAAATCACCATGCTCTCAATATTATCTTGTAATCTCATCAATTTCAAACTTCCAATATTAATTCAATAGGGGCGGTAAATACGACACTAGTAATCCCTAGGTTGGTGTCTGCAAGTAGACTCTACGAGTACTACCAAAATGTCATTTTTACCGGTATTAACCGGAAGGCTCGACACCTACCTGCGCGGTTTTCTGGTCTTTCACCATGGACACTCAGGCTATATTATCAAATTCAACTACACCCCCTATCTAGACTTACCACGTATTTACCCCTTTTACATTACCATAGTTCTCATTGCATTATTATGTTCTTTCATAAAACAATTATCTTTAATCAAAGTTTACAATGCAAAATTATAATAACATAAATGAATATGCAATGCGATGATTCCTCATATCTCATAACATGCCTCCATTCTCAAAGTCTCTACAATAATGCCAACAATCATGTTTCTCATTACCTCTTTTCAATGCTCTTTCCAAGATAACCATTTGTTATCTACACTTAACCACATTTCACCTTTCACCATACTTGATAAGGTAATCTCATCAAGGCTACATGTAATGTTCTTCAAACATTAAATTCCACAATTCATAACACACAACAACTATCATCTTTCACTTAAATATTTCCTTACATTCAACAATAGTTTAGAAATAAGTCCTCCACCCTTTTATATCAAGAGAATCATCCTCCCATTATATCACATTGTGAAAATCCACACTCTTTTACATATTTAAACACAAGAACGAAGAAGAATGTCATAGTTTTACTCATGTTTTCAAAAATCCCCAATTTCTAGGGTTTTCATCAAAAACCCTACAACCCTCCCATTTCATGGTAAAACTCAATCAAAACCGTATTTTTTCTTAATTTGGCACAAAGAACATCCTTATGGATAAAAATAAGTTGAGACTTAAAACCCCTCTTTCAAAACTCCCCTTTGTCTCTCTTCATTTAGTGCAAGATCAATATTAACACCACAACCTCATGAAAGTTTTAAAATCAACATTTAGGAAGCAAAACTTGTATATATAACTCAAGAATTCCCTACCTCAAGCTTGATGAAGAAGATGATGAAACCCTAGCTTTGATGGGAGATCCTTCAACTTCTACGACCCAAGTGAAATTCTAGCTTTATCTTGAAGATTGGAGAAGGATGATGATGATCTAAGCCCAATAGATAGCAAGATTCAAGAGTTTTTGATGCTTTGGTTAGGGTTTCTAGAGAGAAGGATGAGAGAAAATGTTTTTAGAGAAAGGGAGGGATTTTAGAATGAGATATAAACAGCCCCAAAGTGTAAAAAGAATAGGGTTTTCGGACTGGTCCCGCTCCGCACGTACGGCACATGCCCTCGCACGTGCGGCTGCCATCTCCCGCACGTGCGGCTAGTCCAGCACTTCCCCTTCTGCACCTGCAATTTAAACAGAATGCAATAACCTCGAGCTCCCTTGTTCCTGCACATGCGGCTTGGCCTCCCGCACGTGTGGCCCAATCCCGCACATGCGGCCCTGGGCCCCCGCACGTGCGGCCCTGGCCCAGCAGCCCAGAAAAATCCCGTCTCGCTCCCGGGCACTCCGAACCTAACCTTGTACCTCCCGGAACTGGTGGAATTCAACACCGACAAAGAAAATAGGAATGAGAGCGTTAATCTGGAATGACTTCTGAATGTTTCAATTCCAATGGAAACAAAAGAGAACAAAGTGGAGAGGAGAGAAAAGAAGGAAGAGTAAAGACCCGGTCACACATCATGCACAAGTCTTACCAATTTTGAATTTAAAATTATCAAGATGATAAGTAGAGGCCGACCTTGAGTCGGGCAAGATGGATGCATAAAATCTTCGCATCTCATACCTAAGTCCTCGAATCGAGTTCTCTGGTGATAGTACCTTTATATATGGAGTCATTTTACGATTCTTGGACCTTAAAACCAAGTAGCAGTTTCGAGTTTGATTATTGATTGTTAGGTAACTTAGCCTATGTGGAAAAATGATAAAAAGGTCTATGCACGCCATATGATAGATCTAAGTGGGCTTCAATAAACTATTATTTGACCGAATCTTCAATAATCTTGTGGGTTTTATACATAAGATGGAAAAACAAGGGAATAAGAAAGTTGTAAGCCAATTGCGCCTCCTCCGAAGGTCGATTGCTCTTACATATGTAACTCACAAAAGAAAGAATTATATCACTTTTATTTGATTGCTTCCATCTTGACTCTTTTTTGTTTCCAAAATTGTTTTTAAGAAAGTTCCCTAAAACTTGGAAAATTACAAAAAATGACAACTTTCCAAGAAGAAGGAAATTTTACCAACAACTCGAATATTTCCAAAACACATTTTATTTGAATAAAATGGAATCAACCTAATCTAAGCAATAAAATCTTTCAAATACATAGAGTTTCATAGTGTAGAGCAATTATGTTACATAAGGTAGATGGTTCTCTCCAATTGGGTTTCCCAACTATAGGGTATTGTTGGGCCTCCGTGGGCCCACTACAGAGCTCACATCGATAATCTGACCTATCAATACAAAGGGTTTGTCAAGTATTTCATACTTTCAAAAAATCACATTAATCAAATATCGATAAACATTTGATTAGATTATATTTGTGTCACTAGTTTATTTTAAAATTCGTACTTACCGTTGACACAAATGTGATTTGATCAAGTAACTATCGATATCCGATTAACATAATTTTTTGCAAGGATAAAATAATCGATGAACTTTACTATTGAATAATTCGAATCATCGATGTGGGCTCTATGGTGAGCTCATAGAGGCCCAATAACATCCTCCAATCTGATTTGGACTAGAAAGAAGCCTATCCCATTACATAAAATATTCAAAACATGCTACTAATAAGAAATAATACAAATACATACAAAAAGATGCAAAAGGAGGGAAGAGCACTTATCAGGTACTCCTCGGCACCAAAGTTACAAAAACCAAGTTAGCATATTATATATATATATATATATGACCTAAAGCATGAAACTAATGCAACAACACATGAAATGAACTCCTAAAGCCTGGTAGGTGCTAAACATGATATATGAGCATAAAACCATGGCTTTTCAGATTTAAAACAATCAAATACCACAAAATGCAACAATGAGAATATCTAGTCAATGGGTATATTGGGCCTAGATGCATAATAATCATGTCATGTGATCAAAACTAATGGTACAATGCAAAACACGTAGCAAAAGTAAGAAAATAATGATTAAAACTACTCCAAATCATGGAATATGCATGAATATGACTTAACCATTATCAAAAGCAAAAATCTTGACTTAAGTATATGAAAATAATAAGAAAATTATCAACTAACTGATAGTTTGGTAGTCAAACTGAAGAATATAAGAGAAACTTGAAAACAAGGCCCCTGGCTGCTTTCCCACGGCCTTGGAGCTCTCAAGGCACATTTTGGATACTCAAATATTTCAAGGAAGGTCTCTTTCTTTTTAGGGTTTTGGGAGAGCTATGAATTTTTGTGTATTTTGGTAGAGGTTTGATGTAAAAAAATGGTGATCATTGTTTCCTTTTCACTAAAAACTAGACAAGGTTTTAGTTAAATCCAATGCATTCATTACATATTACTAAATGCGTTGTAAGGGCATTCTCTTACTAATATGTTCTTTTTTTTTCTTCTTTAGATTTATAATTAGTATTGTTGTACATGTAATTATATTTTGTGTTGCAGTGATTTATCCAGTGCTGGTTTCAAAGGAGAAATACCACGCGAAATTGGAAACCTCACTTCTCTTACTAATTTGTAAGGGTATTTTCTACTATTTCGCTCAATTGGCTTACTTAGTCCTTGCTTTATAATTTGAAGTTTGATCGTGAAATAGACGTAGACATTCTTTTTAAGAGGAAAGTTCAATTCAGAGCTAAAATGTAGGGTTTTGAGGCCAAAAAATGCTTTTTCACTTTCTTCTTCGTTCCATGAAATGATGAAATTGTTATTTAGGGTAATTCATACAAGTCATTAGAGCAATGACATGTGACACCTTCTCGACACTCAATAAATTTTTCTTACTCTCCCTTGATATGACTATGTGGGTGTTTGGCAGAACTTATTTACTGCTTAAATCAACTTATAGCTTAAAATAAGTCATATTAGAGTGTTTGGTAAAAATTATGAGGGATGAATTATGGCTTAAATTAAGCCATTTCACGCATAATCCGTTAAGTTGGCTAAGAGGTGCTTTTCCAAACTGATTATGCGCGCAATGAGCCTCAAGGTGTATAATGACTTAAATGCCCCTCAACATTTCAAGTTATTACCAGTGTGCCACTATATAAACCAAATACAACTCATTTCTGTCTCTCTCACGCCTCTGAGAGGCGATTTCCGGTGAAAGGGAGGCGATTTCCGACCAGCCCTAGCTCTCTGAAACCCTAGTGCTCTCTCTCTCTGTCTCTCTGTGTGTTCGGATTCAGATCTATGAGAGTGTGAAAATCATCGCCCTAGAGAGGCATCGTGATCGTGATCTGAAGGCAAATCGACAGCCTGGATCCACCGCCGTCATCGCGATCTGAAGGCATCGCAATCTCAAAACCCTACATCGCAGTGGTTGTTCAGGCCGTCGTCTCTCTCTCTCTCTCTCTCTCTCTCTCTCTGTTCAGGCGGTGGTTGTTCAGGCCGACGGCACTCCCTCTCTGCCGTTCCAGATCGCGGCGGTGGCTAGGGTTTAGACCACCGGCGTACGGATGGTTCATGAGAAAGGAAGAGAACAAAAAAAATAAAAATTAAAAACAAAAATAAATTTATTTGGTAATTTCTTTACCAATTAAAAACAAAAATAATCAATTAAAATAAATTTATTTCAATTAATATCAATAAATAATAATTAAAAACAAATAATAAAAATAATAATTAAAAACAAAAATAAATTTATTTGGTAATTTCTTTACCATATAAACAAAAATAATCAATTATATTAATGAAAACAATTGGTACTGTTAATGAAAATTGTTCTCACAACATTAATTGAAATAATTGATACTTTGGTATTATTAATGAAAACAAAACAAAAAATAAAAAATGAAAACAATGATGCTAATTAAGTCATTAATTTTATACTAATTGATAAAGAATAATATAATATAAAAAATAAATAATAATTGATGGACAAATTGATACTAATTTTAATAATGTATGAAACAAAATTAATAATAATTAATAATTAATAATTAATAATTGATACTAATTTTAATAATTGATGAGCAATTGATAATTTTTATACTAAAATCACAATTAATAATAATAATAAAGAAAAGAAATACAGAGAAAGAAGAAAAGAAAAAAATTAATAATTTTGATAATGAATATATGAAAGATAATATGTAATGAAATCACAACATTAATATAAATTAGAATATGAATATTAATTTTAATGAATTAATAAATTAAAAAAAAATAACAAAGAAAGAATAGAAGAAAAAAAAAAGAAAAGAAACGAAAATAAAATGAAAAAGAAAAAGAAAAAGAAAAAAATGTATTAAAAATGAAATCACAAATTTTATATCTTATAAGGGCAAAAATGACAATTATACAAAAAAAGCTATTTTACAGCTTATTTACCAAACACTACTCTGTTGCTTAAATCCATAATCCCACAGCTGCGCCAAACAGATCACCAGCTTATGTTCACAGTTGTAAGTTATAATCTGTTAAACTATAATCTATAATCACTTTCCCACAGCTCTACCAAACGGGGCTTATGTACTATGTCAAATTAATGCATTAATTAATTTCAAAATTTTGAAAGCATTACAATTCCACATTTCATTTTTATAGTTTTCTTCGTTAATTTTGCATAGAGCACATGAAATGCAGACAATGTAGTGTCATTAGGAAAATTTAACATTCTAACATGGTTCTTATTATTATGCATTTTTTTATGAAGATTAACTGCTTTCATAAATTATTACCATCGAATTTCAAATAAACTTATGTTGACGAAAACAGATGATGGAAGAGCGCATGTAGTCTCAAATCTATATTTCTTCATATACTCTTTGTTAGGTTATTTCACCAATTCTTTAACCTTCATGAAAAAATAATTATTTTTTTAATGAAAAACCTCTCAGCTTGATTGGTTTGATTTTCAAATTATGTTTTCCTTCTTCTTTTTCATCTTTTTTCCCAGAGAATCTACGAACTAATTTAGTGAATAAAATGAAAAATAAAAAAATTAATCATTTCTGTATGGTTCTCCCTTATTTTGGAAAGAAAATAATTTCTAAAGATTAAAAAAAATTCTTTTTGTATTTATTTTCATAAAACCAGTTGCTATTATTAAAAAAAAAAATAGAAAACATATCCTTTAAAGGTTGGAAACATTTTGGGAAAAGTGGATGGAAAAAGCTAACAAAAATAAGACCAAAAAAAAAAACCTTTAAAAGTTAGTCTAATTTTTGCTTTCAGCATTATTTTTCAAAAATAATTTATTATTTTTAATTTGTAAGATCTTCTAGTTTGGACCAACTTATAAAGTATAAACAAATTGACTCAAAGTTCCAAAAAAAATTTGCTAAAAGCAAAAACATATAAGTCAATTTACAAGCTAAGCAAAGTATCATCATTTTGTATGACGTGATTTAGCTTATTTTTACCTTTAGACCGTGATGAACTCATCATGCACATTTTTGTACCACTGAACGGTCTTAGCTCCATTGAACGAGAAGACAGTGAAATGCATGACACATATGGCGTTTAATGTATCTTTTGATTGGCAACAATTCTTTCTCTTCGTTATTTATTTCTTTTCTTTTTTATTTTTTTCTCTTTCAGAAGTGGCAACTCTACTATATGGAATCATCAATGAAATTTTATTTAATTATTTTCATTTAATTTTGTTGCCACAGATATTTGAATGATAACAGGTTTAGTAAGATTCCATCTTGGTTACAAAATTTGTCCATGCTTTCAACTATGTAAGTTGTGTAATCATGTTGAAGCGTATTTAATTTCAATTTACTTTTTAAATATTTTTCCATACCTAACTAAGATCATCATTGTCATAATGTGTAAAACCCTAACAATGCTATGGGTAATAAAAATGAACATGTTTGGGTAATTTAACATTTATGATGCATGTAAGGTTTTACACACTAACATTGGCTATCTATGATGAACAGTATCCTTGATGATAACTTACTGGTTGGACACATACCAACTTTCTTTAGTCAAATGAAGTCGTTGGTCGCTTTGTGAGTTTGCATCATAACGTCTTTTTCTTTTTCTTTTATCATATAGGTTGTTTTGCATCATTTATTGGTTCAATATCAGCAAATTAAATTCGAAATGGTCTATCTTTTTTATCAGTGTTTGGCATTTAAAGATTACCTCATCTATCTATCTATTTTCTATGAGACATTCTACAATACACATACTCTTTTTTTTCTTTTTTTTGGAGTGGAATGTACAATATATCTGGTTATAATTCTTTTGTGATCTTAGTATGAGTTAAGTAATGTACAGTTATGGCTCAGTATAATTGTTGAAAATATTTTTTAGTTATAAGTCATTATGGTTTATGATCATGATTATGACCTAATGAAATTGTTTTTTTATTATGACTAAAGTGGTCATTGGTTGTGATTCATTGTGGTGTTTTTAGTTATGAATGAATGTAACTTAGGTATAAGAGAAAGTGATATTTACATATACACCCAAAAAAGCAGTGTCTATTATAGAATTTTGGGCATACAACATCCAATGGGAAATGAGGTAATTTATTACCAGTCGATGGGAAGTTTCAAATATTACATCACAAGTGGAAGAACCAAAAATAATTACAAAAATATGGAATCTTTTGGTAGAATTATGAAATTACCCTTGTCTCTTTTAGTTTTCTTCTGGAAATAACCCTAGCCACTTCTTCTATCACTGCCACCACTTCCTCCATTCTTCCTCACTATCCCCAACCACCTCCCCGCATCCTAGTCCTCTCTCACCCATTGTGGCTAGCCCTGCCCCTTCTCCGCCCACTTCTGCCACTCTTCTATCCATTCTTTTGATCTATACCACTGGTCTACTCACTTTCACCACTCTAGACAATAAACACCAAACCCGACACCCTAGTCGATATCCAAACCAACTAACTGGAAAATAAGTAGCGATTGGGACCCATTCAATGGTAGTATAAACAAGTGTGGCCGGTAGTTATAAAGATTTATGCGCATTGGAATATATTCAATTTGTTTACAATCGAATTGATTAGCCAATTATTGTGTAGCAATGGGTGCAAAATAGTTTTTCATAGTTAAAACAGCAAATCTGAAGAGAATTTGAAGAGAGTATCTAACACATAACAAGTCCACAAAAATCCTAAGAAGATGAACATCCATGGGTCATGGGCAGTTATAGGAGTTAAGAAAAAAGAATGTGCAGGTTCTTGAAATGCAAGAGACACTAGGACCATTACTGGAACAACAAATGAGGGAAAGAAACGGCAAAACAAGTCAACGCTTGAGAAGGAAAGAAATATCATGGGTCATTGTAAGCGATCACAAGCCACTACAACTTATAAAAGTTTTAGGAATCAAAATTTTTTGTCCCCAAAAGTGAAAATTTTGTTGCAAAAAATATTTGGGGACCAATTCCTGTCATCATGAAAGCTGTCACTTAAAGGTCATCCCAAAAGTCAAAAAAAATAGCTTTTAGCAACAGAATTTTGAAATTGTTGTTAAAAATGCACTTGTAAGGATAACTTAATTTGGTGCCAATATGTTTACTTTTGGAGAGAGAGAGAGAAAACTTGTACCAAAAGGATAGTTGTTCATCACTAAATGTCCAATTTCATTATTAAAAATACAACATTTCATCCCTGAAAAATGATTTTGTCCTTAGTTTTTTTGTCTCAAAAACCTGAATACGTTGTAGTGAGTAGTTGAAGCATTGTGCCTATAAATAGAAGGCTAATTGAAGGAGAAATGAACCTCTAGATTAAAAATCTAGACTTATTATTATATTTTCTTAGCAGTAGTTCTCACTAGTTAGGAGTGGATTCGATTCTTATAACCGTATGAGTAACTTTAAAGATATGAGTAGGAGCAGCAAGATAGTGTGATCTTGAAATTGTATTGTTCATTCAATCAATTCTAACTTCTCTTTTAGTAATTATATTGTTCACTAATTCAATTACTTTTCACTTTATTTCCTTTTACTTTCCTTTTACTTTGAATTATGTATTACTTGTCCTCGATGTTGGCACATTGAGACAAAAGAACTGTTAAGACATTTATCTGTTTTTTAATTGGCTTAGGTTTAAATCTAAAAAGGTGTTGTTCAACCTTTTCTACCTTGCCTAAATTACAATTATGCCATTCAAAGACATTTCAAAGCCAACATTTTTTTAGCACACCGGATAGGACACACTTTCTAGTGCACCATGACAAAGACAAAGAGATAATAAGAAGTTATATTTTTAACAATGTGCAAGATGTAGGGAGAGAACCAGAGGTCGCTATAAATGCCTTGAACAAGAAAGTTTCCTTAAAATAGTAATAGATAGGCTGGTGATAATATTGTCTAGTAAAATCATAAAATTTCTAACCTAAATGTGGTTTCAAACTAAGTTTTATTCTAGATAGGGCCGATTATAAAACAACTTGGCCAACAACTAATAAGTTATGTTGATAATTTGGCAACTAATTTGTTGGAGAGGTAACACCGCCTTGATCACCATTTCTCCAGAAGATAGAGAATAACTTGCTACCATGTCAACAAAGAGTGAATGGAGAAAATAGAGAGGATCATTGCCAACATATGGTTGAAGATGGCCAACGGAAAAAGCCAACATTCTGGTATCTCTCAAAGAAGAATTTGTGGTCTTGAAAACCGACGAAAATTTTATTATAAGGTAATGCCTCCATTGGAATGGTATAAGCAAAATGACTAATTACCCTCCACATGAGCCAAATTTGGGAGGAAATAATACTATAGTATGACTATCTCCAAGGTTAGCAAATAATCAAGCATTCAAACAAGGACTCAAGGGTGGGAAAAACCAATTAGGCCTGTTAACGAGAAACCAAGAATGATGGAAAATATCCCACCTCCAGTGCTCGAACAACCATCAATGGTTGTTGCAACACCTACCTTACCAATAGATCAAATTATTGGTCTCAGACAAGACGTTTATGGAACTATGGCTCGTAGGGGTACAATCTCTAGTATATATAAGACAATATGTTGAGTAGGTAAATAGGTTGTATGAATTCTTAAAGGGATTCAGATTTATTACTTTATTCTCAGTAAGTGAAAACCAGTCAACCATTGAACACGTTGAAGGTTCATTGGACAATGAGGGAAATTTGCAAGTAAGGATTGCTTAAAACTTAGAATGTTCCTTATTTTTTTGACTAGAGCAGCTTTTACGTGGTATGCTTGTTTGTTATTATAGACACCCTATTTTTGAAAGGCACTAAGACTTTGGGGCTCTGACTCGAAGCTCCCGATGATGAAAGCAAAATCTTTTAAGCACAAGTGATGGATGAAAAGAGACAAACCTTCCTTTACCTGTTTTGGCCAAAGAGTTTTCTAGACCTTCAAACCTATATTTTTTGAAATGTTTTTAAGGCAAATGGTACATTCTCATTTATTTCTTAGCATTATATTTCCAAAAGGTGTTGACTTATTTTTCAAAAAAGTGAGCTTAAAAAGCCGGAACTAATAAGAAGATAAGGAAACCTTTTGAGAAAAGTAAGGTCGTACAATGCTTGGTCAGCCAGACAATGTTAGAGAAACACGACAAACAACTTTGGTCAGAGCGAGCACATTCGGACCACTTCGGTCTTGGTAAGCACGCCCGAACCATTCTTGCTCTGCCAAATAGATTTTTGAGAAAACACGACAGACCACTCTTGGTCTGCCATACAACTCTTGTCAGGTAAAAGCCAGCCAATGTCAGCCAAATAGATTTCTTATGAGGTGTCTCCTAGCATCTTGGAATATACCATCCGAATCTTTCAGAATCAAATGGTGTATTCTAAGCACCTCAAGCCTATTTAAACCCCTCCTCTTACAGGATTAAAGGTTGGAAAATTCAACTATTTTTAGTCAATTTGATGAATTAATTGAGGGAACCTAATTTAAACTAGTTAACTATTTGAGTAGTTTAATCAATCTGAGTGAGGATTATAGAGTTTTGAGCATAGAGTTTAATATACCTATACACTTGGATTACTATCTTCATACATTTGCTTGGAGTTTTGGAGCTAGAGATCTTCACCAGCTTGAGGGAGTTTAGATCAGAGCTTGTGACTAGCTTGGACCCTATCTCTACAAGCCTAGAGGTAATCCCCTACTTCTATTCTTGAGTTTCTTGCGTCTTCCATCTTTTTTTTCTTTCTTGTTGGAATTTTCTTGAGATCATTGTTGGGTTATTGCTGATAGTTTAGTTGGATTCTCTTTTCTTCTACCCTTTTCTGTAGCTAGTGAAGGCCTGTATAGCAACTTTGGCCAAGTCCAACTTGCTTTTTCTTGATTTGTTATGGGTTAGAAACCCAAGTACGGTTTCCTCTATGAGAAGAGATTAGATCTCTCCTCCCGAACCTCTTTTACATGAATTTGAGTAGCTTATACTCATTTTCACGAGTAGGAGGAGGAGAACCTCTCTTATATCATTAGAGTTTCCCTCATTTGTTATTTTGATTGATTGTTGTTAATATAGAAACCTATACAAGGTTTCCTCCACGGGAGTAGACTGAATCTTTCCTCTAGTCACTATTTCATGAATTTGGGTAGCTTACACCCCCTTTTATGTGTTAGATGAAGATAATCTCTCTATCCTCATTGGAACCTTCTTATTTCATCATTTTCTTGATTTTTGTTAATATAGATGCCCAGGTCGGTTTTTCTCCACGAGAATAGATCGAATCTCCCCTCTCATCACTATTTCAATAATTTCGGTAGCTTATACCCCTTTTCATGTGCTAGAGGATAAGAATTTCTCTATCCTTGTTGGAGCCTTCTTATTCCTTCGTTAATTGTTGATTATTTCTAGATACAGAGCCCAGGCACGGTTTCCTCCGCAAGGATAGGTTGGACCTACCCTCCCGAACGACTTTTCCATGGGTTTGGATAACTTACATCCGTTTCCATGAGTGAAAGGGTTAGGACCTCTCTGTCCTCGCCAAAGTCCTAATTATTATAGAAATATTATGTCGTATATATGTTGTGTGTGCTAGGATGGATTTCTCTTCTCCTTACTTTTACCTTCTTTTCCTATTTATTCTAGCTTATTTTTATTTTTCTTTCATTTTTTCATACTATCATCACATGTTTAGCTTCAGATCATGCATCTGAGCTCAGATCATCATTTTTTATTAGATCGTATTAGTATGTGGCGTGCATAAATTCATTGTATCACATCTTATCTTATAG